TCCAACTTTGCTTCACTTTCCTGGAGAATTGCTCTTAAAATGGATAATGTTTCATCGACTTCGTGCCTACTACTGGCGAGGGTCTGGTGATGCCGATCACACAACGGGAAAATATTGGCTAAATATTACATGGTCGCCACAGACAACACTTTTCCAATGAAAGTCCATGACTTTTCCCCGATAAAATCACTGACAGTCTGTTGCACACATTAATCCAGCTACGAGGATGACAAAATTAACGAAAGAAGCCGAAACAGAAAGGACACTTAGATGTCAACTGAAAAAGGCCACGCAACCAACGAGATGATCCGAGACTTGGAGTTGAAACACATCTAGTACAATCTTGACAGCGTCTCCCGGCTAGTTCAGTACAAACAGTAAATGAAACACTACAACGCGGCCACCTGTGTCCGTTAAGGCATGTTCCGTAGTTCAAACTTTCTACAGCAATAGCAGCCTCGCAAACTGAGCATGTTTCTCTGATAGGCAAGGCAACCAAACTTGTAGTTTCATCTTCCAAAACAGAAATATCAACTACATCAGAGGTTTCAGTTGATTGCGTAAGCTCTGTCATAACCTCAGTATTGCTCTGCAAGTTGACAGAATTGATAACTGAGACTTGCGTTTGAGGCAAAGATCTCTTCAAAAGACTTTCCTTGACACTTGCCTGGCGTTCTTTACTAAGCGTCGTTAACTTGTTTAAACCCTCCGCATCACAACAGGCTTGATACACTTTAGCAACAAGATCAAGCGCAGCTGAGTCATTAACATTCATTACCAACCAGTCGCACATTACAAGGGCTGACACCGAGTCTGTAGAGAGAAATCAATTTTAAGTCGTACAAAGCTCTTTCACTTAACACACGGCATTAATTCCAGTTAGTCTGATTAGTCTCTTTCGTCCACGTTAAAGGCGAGAGTTGAGAGCTGGATACTACGTGAAACTTGCACGCATGGAAGGGGCTGATGGGAAGGAAGAAGAGGGGAAATGGAGACTGTCATCCTCATTCTCATAAGTCTTTGTATCTAATGCCCCATTCACACTAACTAAACTAGTTTAACCAAATCAGGTTTAGAGTTTTCTAATTTGTTGATTACGCTTTGCAGTCATTTTGAAAAGACAAATTTTAAACCACCTGCTAACATATTTCAATCAAACAGGTTTCTACCGTGTTAAGTTGTAGGGCGTGCGCAGTATGAGCAGCTAACTTTTAACCCTGTTTAGTTAAACAACTTTTAAACAAGTTTGACCCGTTGGTGTGAATGGGGTATAAGACTCAAAATACAATCCTTCAAATATTCTACGCGAGACACATGGCCCTTATAACAAGAATAGCAATAATTAACAAAGATTCTTTGAAATCGAGGTGAACAAAGGCAGAATATAAAATCCTCGTCACAATCTAGCAAAATGTCCTGTTAACGCCGTTCAAATCGCAATCTAAATCGAAAGTCTGCTTGCAAAACAGTTTCACCGTTCAATCAAAGTTTTCATTTTCACTTGAAATGAAAATTGAAAGAGCAGTGGGCGAAGGATCAACCCGAAATTGTACGTGTGCACAGGACAGCTGTGGTGAAACATAGGCACGCAAGGCGTGCAAGAGTTATTTTTTTGTATGAAGTGTCGGAGATGAGAGCATTCATGAAGCTGTTTACAGTAACGACCTGGTTAATTTGACAAGTTTTTTTGGTTGTGATGTACAGCAAGAAACAAACTGGGAATTTATGA